TAAGCCACAGCCCCGACTCTGTCCAGAATCTCGAAGGGGCCTATGAACCTTGGGCTCAATTTCCCTTTCTTCCCGAACCTCAGCACCCCCCTCATAGGGGCCACCTTCAGGAACACGTGGTCACCCACCTCAAATTCGAGGTCCCTTCTACGCACATCTGCATAGCTTTTCTGTCGACTCTGTGCGGTGAGTATCCTCTGTTTGATTTTCTGCACCGCTGCGTTGGTGACCTGGACCAACTCTGGTCCCATTAGTTGCTGCGTGCCTACCTCTTCCCAAAACACTGGTGTTCGACACCTACGCCCATACAGTGCCTCGAAGGGGGCCATCTGAATGGTCGCTTGATAACTATTGTTGTAGGCAAACTCCATTAAAGGCAGATGTTCGTCCCAACACCCAGCGAAATCTAAGGAGCAGGCTCGCAACATGTCCTCTAAAACCTGATTCAGCCTTTCGGTCTGTCCGTCCGTTTGAGGATGGAATGCTGTACTGAACCTCAACTGAGTTCCTAGTGCCTTCTGAAGACTCCTCCAGAACTGAGAGGTGAACCTGGTGTCCCGGTCTGATACTATGGACACTGGTACCCCGTGCAGGCGTACTATCTCCTTGATATATAACTGAGCCCACCAGTCTACTCGATATGTGGACTTTCCTGGAATGAAGTGGGCTGTCTTAGTCAGTCTGTCTACAATTACCCATACGACGTTGAAACCCTGCTTTGTCTTTGGCAAACCCGAAATGAAATCCATACAGACTGCTTCCCATTTCCACTGAGGGACGCTCAGGGGCTGTAGCAATCCCGCTGGGCGCTGCCTCGGGGCCTTCACCTGCTGGCAGGTCAAGCAACGGCTTACGAAATCCGCTATGTCCCTCTTCATTCCGGACCACCAGTAAAACCTCTTCAGATCCTGATACATCTTTGTACTTCCAGGGTGGAACACATAAGATGTATCGTGGGCTTCGGTCATAATATCTTTTAAGATTCCCTCGTCTCGGGGAACGCACAGGCAGTTTTGCCATAGCAGACCCCCGTCTGAGGAGATAGAATACCCTACTTGCCTCTCGGTCTCAATCTGACTCCACACTTTACTGAGGTGTTCATCAGACCTCTGAGCGTCGATAACTTTCTTTCGTAGGGTAGGCTGTATAGTTAACTGTGCTATCTGAACATTACCACCTTTAATCACCACGTCTATCCCAGCCCTCTTCATCTCATCTTGTAGTTTTTCCTGTGTGGTGATCATCACAGAAGTATGCACAGCCTTCCTGCTCAATGCATCAGCTACCACGTTCAGAATCTCTATGTCATAATCCTTTACCAGCTCCAACCATCGCCTCTGTCTCATATTGAGCTCCTTCTGCGTGAATAAGTACTTGAGGCTCTTATGATCAGTGAAGACTTGTACTTTTTCCCCATACAGGTAGTGCCGCCACGTTTTTAGAGCGAATACTACCGCTGCTAACTCGAGGTCATGCGTGGGGTAGTTTCGTTCATATTCTTTCAATTGTCGAGAAGCATACGCTATCACCTTACCTTTCTGCATGAGCACACACCCCAAGCCTTTCCCTGATGCATCACTGTACACCACGAGATTACCTGACCCATCTGGAACCGTAAGGACTGGTGCAGTTACCAACCTCTTCTTGAGTTCCTGGAAACTCTGTTCGCAGACTGGAGTCCAAGCAAAGGGCTTGCCCTTCTTGGTTAGCTGAGTCAGCGCCGAGGAAATTTTGGAGAAATCCTGAACAAACCTTCTGTAATAACCGGCTAGCCCAAGAAAACTCCTCACCTCTGTGACTGTGGTCGGCTGTGGCCACCTCATCACTGCTTCTATCTTAGCTGGGTCCACTGTGATCCCCTTGCTTGACACCACGTGACCCAGAAACGCAACTTCAGACAACCAAAACTCACACTTAGAGAACTTGGCATACAACTGCTGAGCTCTCAGTATTGTCAAGACTTTTCTGAGGTGTATTTCATGATCTGCCTCTGACTTAGAGTATACCAGAATGTCGTCGATGAACACTAAGACAAAGGTGTCTAAGAATTCCTTAAACACCCTGTTCATTAGTTCCATGAAAACAGCTGGTGCATTGGTAAGGCCAAAAGACATAACGAGAAACTTGTAATGCCCATAACGACTTCTGAAGGCTGTCTTGGGTATATCCTCTTCCCTGACCCTCAACTGATGATACCCCGACCTTAGGTCAATTTTGGAGAAAACTGTTGCTCCCTGTAGCTGATCAAACAGGTCGTCAATTCTCGGGAGAGGGTACTTATTCTTTATAGTGACCTTGTTTAATTCCCTGTAGTCAATACACATCCGCATGGACCCGTCCTTCTTGACAAACAGAACAGGGGCTCCCCAGGGTGATACACTGGGTCGGATGAAACCCTTATCCAACAACTCCTGTAACTGTTCCTTCAATTCCCTGAGTTCTGCAGGTGCCATCCTATAAGGTGCCTTGGAGATCGGCACCGTTCCTGGTTCTAAATCGATCCCAAAATCGACTTCCCTAGCTGGGGGCAAACCCGACAGATCCTCCGGAAAGACATCTACGAACTCCCTGACGATGTGTACCGATGAGGTTTTTTGTTTGTTACTATTATCTAAGGTCACGCTGGCTAGGAATGCAATTGCGCCACTACGAATCAACTTCTTAGCCCTTAGCGAGGTTATGACGCTCGGGACACCTTTGGAAGTGGCTCCCTTGTAGGTAAAGATGTCCCCTGACGGGAGCCTGAGAGTCACTATTCGGGTCTCGCAGTCTATCAAAACGCGATTCCCGCCTAGCCAATCCATACCCAAGATGACATCGAAGTCTTGCATCCTTAACACTATCAGTGTAGCTTCGATGACACGCCCTGCTATCGTTACTCCACCTCCCTTCACCCTATGGGTAGCTAGCAACAGCTCGTGAGCAGGGGTAGACACTGATAGGGTAATCTCTAAAAGTTCTTTCTCTAGCTGTGCTAGCTCTACAAACTCTTCAGATACGAATGAATGCGTCGAACCCGAATCAAACAACACTAATGCAAGATGACCAAATACGGGTAGCGTACCTATGACAACCGCGTCAGGCTGGTCAGCTTGCCTGGCTGTGGTTGCATGGGCTACAGCTCGCCCCTGCTGATGTTGGCCGGCTTGGCCCCTCTGATGCTGTACTGCAGGCAGGTTGACACGCTGATCGTTTCTCTGAGGGCAATCCACTGCAAAGTGCCCTACCTGACCGCATCTATAGCAGGCGCCTGTTCCTGCTCTGCATTCCCCCGTGTGAGGACGCCGACAATTAGGGCACAAAGTCATGTTCCGTACCGGGGCTCTCCCTCGCCTATCAGTACGGCCACGGGGTGGTCTGCCAGTTCTGGGGTGGCTAGGGTATGCCCCCTTTCCCTGGGCCGCAGTGTGGGATGATTGTGCTATTCCCAACTGAAGCTTGTCGGTACGGGGCGAGTCGAGCAGGGTCGCCACCTGAAGGGCTTTCGTATAGACAAAGGATGACTGGGATGCCACATTCCCCCTTAGTTCTTCCCTCAGGCCAGCAATAAATCGTTCGCCCTTCAACTCCTCAGAACTAACATAGGCTGGAGAAAACCTTGCCAGCCTATTGAACTCCAAGTCATAATCCCCCACTGATCTGTCTCCCTGTTTCAATGCGAGGAACGCGGCCTGCATTTTCACTCTGGCAGTGATTGGGTAGTATTTGTGGAGGTATGCGTCTTTAAACTGGCACCATGTAATAAACTCTCCTTGTGGTACTATGGTTTTCTGAGCACCTTTCCACCAGAAGTGCGCTTCTTCTTTCAGCATATATGTCCCACAATGGACTTCATACTTTGGTGGGCAGTTCATAAAATGGAAGGCCGTTTCTATGGCCTCTAGCCAATTCTCAGCGGCAATAGGATCCATCTTGCCTCCGTCAAAGGAAGGCGGTTTATGCCTCTGGAAATCTCTCAAGTAGCGGGACTCCACAGTCATAGTCCCTGAATCCTTGCCCCCTTGCCCTGTTGACTGATTAGACATCATGGTCTGAATCATCTGGTTCGTCAGAGCCTGATTTTCCATCGACGTCATCATGAACGTCTGAAACATCTCTGCTGAGGGCATGGTCAATGGCTGGTTTAGTGGGACTGCTGTACACGGGGTTGGATCCGATGGGGCCTCCTCGGAGAAGGGAGTAGTAGGGGGTGTCTCGAGCAGCCTTCGGGCCTTGGCCTTCATTCGGCGTCTTTTTGATCTTGATGGCTGTGGTACTGTCCCCTCGCTAGTTTGGGGCATATCCCCAACCTCCTCCTGAAGTTCAGGTTGTTCCTCTTCAGGTATCGGAACCGAGGTGTCCTGAACTTCCTCTCTTCTTCCCCTTCTAGGTCCTGGCCCTACATACGGTTCGCGTCTCTTTGGTGCCATTATCTACCACGATAACAAAGAACTATGGTCACAATTCATCCACAACACATCTCCTAGGTAATGTGCGATATAATGCCCTAGTCAGTCATGGTATGCTCTATAAATACTAACTTAACCTTTGTCTCTATGTTTCCGTCGCGTGAGAACGTCTGGTCGTGAGCGGCATGTGATTGACGAGCAAAGTCACAGAGGACACGACTCTCTACCCTAAATGTCTACAGGACCTATAACCTGGCGGCTCTGATACCAAATTTGTCACAGCCCAATATTTTACTACGGACAGTGACTAACGACACGACACAGATGCACAAGAGACTTAAATATGAAGTAGCGAAAATCATCAAATTTCAATAAAGTTTTTCAAACGATAAACACAGAACACAAGACCGTTTGGAAAATAAATTTAAAAAGAATGCGAATACAAAAATGATGACTAAGACTGGACTGACGCCCCGGGACAACCCATTCCTCTGTGAAAATTCCCTTCAGATCACGCCCACTCTTGACCGACGCCTCGCGCCCCTGAAAAAAAAAAAACATAGCAAGGATGAGTATAAAAATTATACTCAGTAAGCCACCTACTTGTAGGCTCTTTTCGCATCTTAATTTAGCAGAACTCCCACGGTTTCCTAATTCGGTTCTAGGACATCGGGTTCTAACCTTAGTCTCTTGGGGCTTGCCCCTTGGGTTTCACTGGTTCATCGTCCTTTCATTCGTCACCTAGAGGTTCCTTATGCCAAGCTAATATGGTCGGTATCTCTCTATGAGGCGCTACCTCTACATGGCTATCTAGAACTACATGGTACCTAGCCTAGGGGTGTGCTGAATACCCCTACGCCCATATAGTCCTCCTATGGGGGGCGCGACCCAACCCGTTCCCATGCAGCTAATGGGCTGTACGACGTGGGGACACATTTCCCATGCGAAATGGCTAAGAACAGTAAGGACTGAGCAGGGACCCTTGGTCCTCCCACGAAGCTATAGATACCGTTCTCACGCTAGCAATCTATGAACCCCCTTAGGTACTTTCTTACCGTGGTAAACCGCTAAGTTTCTAGGGGAAAATTAAGTCTGTCTAGAGCGGCATATCGCTCCTAAAAGAAATTCCCTAATCTTATCATAGAAATGGGTCCTAGCAATTAACAGAGGGTGCATGCAATCTTCTTCTAACATCATAGTATGTAATTCATGCAAACTAGGCATACCGGCTCAACGGGGCGATGACCTCCATCAAGCACCCAGAGCACGAGGTTCGCGTTCAATGGGGCAAATTCGTCCATCGAGCACCCGAAACTCGGCATACACAATTCTAACATAAATTAAACGCATGCATACGTACAACGGAAGCTTAAGGCATACAAGCAACACTCAGATAACTCACCCAACACATCATAACAATTCATCTAATTAATCTCATTCATGGAGAGCTAATTTAAGGAAAAATTACTAGCATGCATACATACAATCCAAGCGAACCCTACAAGTATTTCTTCCTAAATACCGGGTGGTGACTTACCTGGTTGACGCGTGCCCCTTCGCTAGCGTTTCTTTGCCCGTGAGGTGTCCAACACTACTGATTTCTCTAAATTACGTCCCTATCCACGTAAAAATAGTATTAGAACTGGAGTCGGGACAAAAATCGAGAAAACAGAAAACAACCGGGCCAAACTGGCCGTTCCACGCGCGCTCACGTGCCCAGCAGCACGCTGGAAGTGCGTGGCCACGCGCGCGGGAAGGTGCCAGCTGCAGGCTGCACGCGCGCCTGCCACGCGCGCCCAATTCTGCACAGTCGCGGGTCGCCCGGCCCGGCCCGGTCCGGTCGGCTCGGCTCGCGTTGCGATTCGGCCCGGCTTGCAGGCGACACGTGTCGACGCCTCGCTGGAGCTGCGTTGCTCCAGCCGGTGGTCGACGCGTGTCCGGCGCCTGTCGCCGCCCTCCGTCGCTCGCCGGCCGTTTTTTTTTTTTTTTTTTTTTTT